CAAGCGAAAAAATCCCAGTTCAGCAGTGGAGAAGGCTTTGATATGAATTACAATAGGACATGCTGTGGGTTACCTCACAGGCTTTAAACCTCTGTGGATTTCTGTGGATTTTTTTCTCTTTTTTTAATAGATTTTGTTTCCTGTATCTTTTATCTATAGACAGAAAGGGGGAAACATGCAACAGCTAGCAAAAACATGATACCTGTAGAAACTGGGGGAAGGGAAATCATTCGCTGTCTTTCAAATGACTTGACTTGCAAATTATTTCCTTAATTACTGTTTAAATAATGTTCTGAAGTGGGATAATGTGCAGGTCACTGCTCTGTAAGTCCTTCAACAAGACAGTTCAGGGCATAATTGTACTGTCGTCTTGATTTATGGTTCAACTCCCCACCCCACCCCCCTGCCTCATTTTGTGTTCCCCTGTTTGCTTAACAACCACATCACATAATCTTTGTGGTTCCTGTTCAGCTAATCACACCTTTAACACATAAATATATCAATTAAAGCATTAAATGCAAAAATGTTCTGGTCTGTTCCACACATTTATAGAATTAAACTGAATTCCAACCTGACCTTGTCTTTGGGTGTCATCAGCCTTTCCCCAAAAGTAGTTAAATAAAGGGTAAGTACTGTTGAAAGAGATGAATGAGCTACAGGCTAAATGGATCATAAAATTAAGTTTAGTTATCAATAAAGGGCATTATAGCTCTTTTGAAGAATGTATCAGTTTTAATGTTTCACAGTCCTATTAAGTAGTGGGATTTATGAGGGCTAAAAATCCATCTGCTTAGGTGATTACCTACAGTAGATTTAAAATCCTTCTTTGTGATTGCAGTGCAAGGTCTGAACGACCAGAGATTTCTTCTCATAATGAAGTATTTTTGGCATTAATTCAGTTTTTGGCAGCCTTCTTTGTAAATTACCAGTGGAATGAAGCCCCCGCAGAGTCCAAGTACCCAGAAGCTGCCAAGACGGTTCAGTGATTTAATGGTGGTGTCCTGCAGCTTCAACTATAATCAGCAGATGCTCCAATTTTTATCATAAATGTTTTCTTAACCTCCTCTGTCAGAGAGTGAAGGAGCCTTTCTGCGTCTTTGTGTCTTCTGATCAGGTTTGTTTTTAGCTGCCTTTTGCATAATTAAACTCCCAAGATGATCCCTAACCTTTTACTTTTAATATCGGATGTTGGTCTAGACAAAGTGTTTTGCTGGGCCGAGCAATCAGCTTTACAGAGTAGATGAAGGGAAATGGAGAGCGATTCCACGTGAGCTCTCATTTCCCTTATCACTAACAATTAGCATTCTTTTAATCAAGTGTTAGGGAAAGCTAAAGGTACTGGTTATTTTTATCCCTGTCTTTGCAGGCTCAGACAGCCTATGGAGGTTCTGAAAATTGGCATTGAAATTTGTTACCAAAAAACAGTCATATAAGTGAGTGAGTGTTATATATTGTGAGTGAACAATATAACAATCAAATATGCTAACCTTGTTGTTTCTGTCATCAGTTTAGTTGTGACATTAAAACTACAGTACTGTTAATGTATTATGCAGTTAAAAGTCATTTACAGAATATGCATGACAGAATTATTGCATGTATTTATAGCAACACATTTAAATTATTAAGTACTGCATTTCCTCCTAAAGTATACAAGCATATTTCACACATACTTTTATGGGTGTTAAATTTCCTAGTTAGAAAAAAAAATCACTTATTAATTGTTGCTCTTCAAGCGCATTAGCAGCAATAGACATGATAATGTTGTATTTTGAAAGATATGAATAGAAAGAATGGGACGATTATTTGTTTAAGTATTTGCTTAGGATTTTGCACCCTTAAATATAATGAAGTGTGCTTTTAGACCTGTGTACCACAATAAAGATAATTTATTGTAACAGTTACTATTAATGCATTTGTAAAATTAATTGACCAGTTTCAACTTATTGATTCATTAATGTATGGTGTAGTGTTGTTAAAAACACTGTGCTCCACACAGAATGCAGATACAGGAAAAGTTATTACAATGTGATATGTTAAGTAAAATATGTTTTTGTGTAGCACAAGCAGATGGACACTGGATTCAGACTGTCTGTGTGCCCTCACCCACGAAACTCAGATCTGCAATGGACAAACCCTCTATAACCAGAAAGTGGATCTAAGACATGGCCTCTGTGCAGCAGATTTGACAGATCTTAGACCATAGCAGTCTGATTGACACTGCAAAACCAGTTACACTCTAGCAACGAGTCTAAGCATTGCAGCAACCTCCGCTCTTCTTAGGCACGAGTCTCAATGATTCTAATCATAGTTTCTTTGTGACACATGCAGCCAGACTGCCAGATTACAATCTGTATCTCTTAGGAACTTCAAAACTCATACAAATAACAAAGCATTCAAGATACAAACCCCCACTATACTAAGTAGCCAGTAACAGTTTCAACTTGCACTGTGAGATACCTATGGGATAATAAAAGTTATGGCATTTCTATAAACAAATCTTTGAGCTAACCTAGATCTTTTTTTTCTCCTAAGGATTTCAGTGTTGTGGGTCTTGTAAAGGTTTCCAGGCAGGCCACATCAGTCATGAATAATCAGGGTTACTGTAATAGAAGACATGATAATAACAGACTAAGAATTTCCCTGTCTACATATTGGTTTAATAGCTGATCACAAGATGGGTTGTTTCAGTTCTTTCATTTTCAACTGTCTACTTAATTGTTCATTAAAAAGAACCATAATTTAAAGTAATGTTTAAAAAAATCTGTTGATGCTCACATCATCTTAATAGCACAAGAAAATAAGCTTTTGGAAACCTTGCCTGTAAACAGAGCTAATGAGTGTGGCCTGAAGATAACTCTCTCAGAGCATCAGAAGTGACAAAAAAAAGACAGGCAGGCAGACAGGAATCACTGCAGCAACAAATGAAAAAACAGATTAATGAGATCACAGCAGTCATGGAGGAGATCTGGCTAAATGAACATGGATTAAACAGTAAACCTGAAGAGCAGTTAGTCTTTTTACTTTGACTACTTGTGAAATCTGAGAAAAGAGCCTTTCTTTTCCTTTTTTATTTGTTATTAGTATCTATGTGACAAATTGGTATTTACACTTAGAATGTTGTGCAAAAATGTTTTAAATAATCTGTATCCTACTTTCTAAACAAAACATCTAGAATTGAGCTCATTTGTCAAACACTGTTACAGAAATTGTGATCAAAGATTCATGATAAGGCTGCAGAATGACTGGCACACTATCGAATTGAAAACATGACAAGATAGTAGGTACCACCTCCCTGAGTATTACCAGAATGTCTGCTAAGTTGATGCATAGACCTGAACACTCACTGGATATACTGCTGAGAGATGTTCTGCAGCTCTTCTTCTGCTCCTGGTGTTAGCTAACGAAGCCTGGCTGGTTGTGGTTGTTGATGGCATTGGTGAACTGGTTCTCCAGATGTTTTGTTGGCCTCATAAGAAGTAAACCTGGCAATGTCACGATCTCGACACCTGTGCAGCCTTCAGTACTCAGTCAGTACTGGTCATATCTTTCTTGCCTTAAACAAAATCTGGTCGAATCTGTCTTGCCTTTATTAAATCAGTTCTGTTTGAATGGATGTGTATTCATATTCTTATTCATTTCAGGGTGATCTCCTAGGAATTTTAACTAAGCTGATATACCACACACTGAGCACCTGCCTTTATTATAAAATCACAAAATTATTTGAACTCTGTTTTGTTCAAGATACAACAGTACTCTAACCACCTTTCAACCTCACACTATTTAAAATGTAAATAACATGCCCAGTGAGTTATTGGCATAAAAATATTAATATAAGACCTTTTCACTTCCATTGTGTGTCCTTATATATTTGCGACATGTATATAAAATTATATATATTCTGTTTTAGAAGAGGTATATTTGACTGAAGCCTCCATTTTCTTTGCAATGACCTCAAGGTGATTATTCCAAGAGATTTGTTGAGATTGTCCAAGTGACTGTGTAAAATACTCATCCATCACAAGAAGCCTCTGGTCAAGAAATGACACTGCAGTAAATATCTTCCGCAGGTACCTTTTAATGTTCAAGCTGTTTTTGGTAAGAATTTTCAGCGTAGCCATAAAACACACTGTCATGAGTGACTGCCTCTGCTCCAAAGTCATTACTGATGGGATGATAGAACATCTTTTACAGAATAACTGAAAAACTTTAAATGTCATGTCAAGTTTGTCGAAGCTGTTTTTCGAGCCTGCTCAAGGTTACATGAATATAGAGCTTTCCTTTTTTTAAAGTTTGAGATCTGCTAAGGGGCTGTAATTCATAATGCACATTCATTGCCAGTGAGCCATGTGGAGTAAAAAAAGGTGGAATTTGCTCAGGCTGTCTTGGAAAAAGTCAATCAGCAAGAGCCATTTAATCATCAAACCAATGCCACAGACTGTTATAGAAGGTGATAAGTCATGATCACTGTCACATATTAGTTGCATGCTGGAAAAAATCAGAAAGGAAAAGAAGGGTTCTCTGTGAATTAAATACTGGCACATGTGTTTGGTATTGTATTGTATATTTTGTTGAAAACCAAGGTGAGGAGGTGAAAGTGTTACCACTAAATGGTGATTCCACTTGTCTAGCTGAACATGAAAATGCAAAATGTAAATCAGTCTATTAAAGATGCATTGCCTACATCAGTACCATTTTTCCCTCAGGCTGAATTTGCTCAGTAAAAGTTTTACTTCAAAACAGGCCACTGTTGGGTTCTAGTTACAATTCCATTTAATTATTTTAGTCATCTCTTCATCCCTTGGTACTCATTTGCATCTCCTTCTGATTGACACCTTCTTGCTTCATCCTCTTCCACTGAAAGCTTCTTTTCCTCTCCAGCAACCACTACTATTTGTTTAATGATTTCTCTGTTTTACATGCCCCCCTTTTAAACCACCTTTTTCAAACTTTCATGAGATCACCTCTTCAGTTTCTACTTATTTTGTCTCTCTCTACTGCAGAAAACATGAAGACACCTTTTGAAAGGTCACGGTCTCGGCAGAATATTCATTTCAACTCGACAAGATCACCAGCCACCAAGGAGCTGAATTATGAGGTGGAGCCTCATTCAGCTACAGGAAGAGGCAAATCGTCTGGGAAGCGAGAGACCCAGTATGGTTCAAGCAGCAAAGAGAAGGAAACTGAGCTTGGAGGCTGCCCCTCTAAAGGAGAGAATGACGTAGAGGCTCTCCTGGCCAGATTAAGAGCCTTGTAACCTTTCAACAGGACAGCCATGCTATCTGCTATGCACATGTTCCTGTGAAAGAGAGTAATGTGACAACCTGTCTGGTTAGACTGTTCAACCAACAAGCTCATCACAATAGTGTGGTGTCATTTTTCTAATGAGCAAAAGTGGTCTATCACATAACTCTCACAATTAACCTTTATTTGAAGATCCTTAACCTTTTTCAGAGCCTGACATTTTGTTCCATAACATCTGAATGTTAGAGTTGGTAAAAGGTAATAAGTTGAATATGGTTCTTCTGCTGAATGTTGCCCTTGTATACATGTATTGTGCTTCTTCTTTCATAGGTGATGGAGAAAAATAGACATTATTCCAATTAATTAAATGGATGATTTGTTATTCAGGAATCCTTTTAAGTATATACTTTAGTACCTACAGCAAAATGTGATTTCTACAAGAACTGTATCCTGCATACAGTAGTGGGAAAGAAAACTATCACAATACCCAAAATGTAAAATTAACAAAAATAATTATATTTTATCTCTTCACATGTAATTTTAAGTCTATGCAAATCAAAATAAAAAATAAAGTTATCTATATTATTTTTTTTATGTGCAAGTTAAAATATGAAGTTTATACGGTGTCTCATAATGCAACAGCGCCAGTGCCCTGAGGTTTGTCTCAGTTTAAATGCAGTTCTTTTAACATGCTCTTTCCCCACCCCTTATAAATGCTGTATACTGAGAGGTATTAAAACACAGCAAAAGAATATTCGAAGCTTGAATTTTAATACCCCTCCATATACATTGCAGATTGGTTTTGCATACTGTATACACTTTTTGCATTTTTGCTTTTCTATATATATAAACACACTGCATTTACACACTAATCATTACTTGTGAAAATGAATCTGAAGTCATCCAGTCTACTTCTCATTTTAATTCCCTTTTAAGCTTTCTGCCAAAAAGTTAAGTCATAAAATGTCTTCTTATGTCTAACCCTTGAACAGAATATTGTGTATTACATAAAACATTATTGTTATACTTTGGCATCCATATAAAGATCATGTAAATCAGCATTCTTTGTTCACATGTGACTGCAATAATATGTTTATTATACACACATAAACAGATATACATGCATCATTTTATTGTATTTATTAGTGTGTGTATTGTGTTCACATTTACTGTACGTAGGATTGGCAGAATAGCACTTTGTCCCTTGGTGTTTTTATGTTATTTTCAGCTACATGAGTTCATGTCCTCTTTGTGATGGGTTCAGTCACTGACCTGGATTAAACCAGAACATTGACCTGCCTGTTAGTCATGAATTGCATATTCAGTTTTCTATTGAGTAGGTATAACAGAAACCAGCAACCAGTGGGTTTATGGCAATGTTTTGCTTTATTCAGGTCCGTCTGTGGTTATACTAATTGGTGCCATTGTATAGTTTTGTCTATGCTAATCATTCAATATTGACTGTATTCTAAATTAATATTTTAAATTTAATTATTGGTAAAGTTGTCTGCTGCTGATTCGAGGTCTGTGAGCAAAGCGAATGCTTGGCAAAGGTAGACTTGCTAAATATTACCTACCATTTAAAATAACCCTTTTTCTTTCACTATTTCAATTTGAGTGAACATGTAATTGCAGTAAGTGGATTTGTCCTGTAATTTGTTGGTTCTTCCCTGTTGAATACCGATATGAATGTGTTTTGTGGTGGGTGTTGAATTGGATTGAGACACACAGAGGGAATTTTCACAGTTAATTGTAATAATCGCATATTCTCTCAGGCACTACAAGGGTGATAATCTATTCACAAAATTTAATTATTAGACTTAAATCAGACAAGGTAGCTATATCTCTATCCAAACTGTTTTTTGTTATATCTTTATTAAATTCACTTTTCTTATTCCCTACTTCAGATCATCAGCACTGTTTAATTAGAGGATAATGTAAGAACTGGGAACTGCGCATTTTGTAGCATCATTTATACAATAAAAGAAAGCTTGTGCAAATGTTTCCTTGTTTTGTATGAATAAGCGGATAGAAGAAAAGTATTTGATACTTTAATTGGATTTTGTTTTGTCATTCAGCACGTCTCATTTCATTAAGAAAAAATGATTTAGCTGTCATCATTTCCTGTTAATGTGTACCTGATTTTACGCACCACTACATATTAGGTTGTACATGTAATGAAAAAAGCCCAACCTACAATCAACAGTTTTTAATGTATTATTAAAAACTCCATAGGTATGGATTGCATTTTAATTAATCTGTTCAAAATCTAAATATGTGGCCCAGGGCTTTGTTCCACAAATGTGACACATGCTGAGCTATAAAGCAATTTGACTTTCAAGGATTATTTATATTTTCCAGTGTAGAGAGAAGAAAATTAAACAAGAATTGCAGGTCCACCAGTTTACTCAGCAGCATGATCCTGGTCTTAATTGCTTGTGAATTAAAAGACAAACCAACTTTTTATAAATGTTACCTATTATTTTTCCATTTATTCCATTTGATGTGTTTTTAGATTCAGTCTCTTTTGCACCTGTGTATTACCAATGTTATATTTTGAAACCAAGGTATCTCAGTTTTCCCTCATGCTTTTTAAACTCACTTTTTATTGTGCATTTAATATTTTCTCCTTCCCAAATCTAAGAGGCGTTGTAAGTTAATACTGAAGATTTAAAATGGCATTAAATCTCTTAGTGGCATTCTTTATTCTTTGTCTTTTCAAAGTTAAGTTCCAAGTATTTAGGTTCAGAAAATCAATGGCATTATGAATCACAGAAGGCTCAGAATTACAAGGGAGGATTTTCAGAAAGAGAATTATTAACATTTTCGTGAAGGTCTTTTGAGTTTTCCAAGTGTATATCTGTAGCTCTGTGTGTATTCTTTGTACCCTAATGACTACATAATGAAAGTAACATATTGCTTAGTTATTACAAATTGCTACTTCAGGATTTTAAGATACACTTATACTTTTTATTCCCACTGTATGTACAGTTACTCTTAAACTATATCAAATTCTCTTCGTGTTTAATCAAATTGCACCTTAATTTTCTATACAGCACAACACACTTTTAATCTGTTGGAATTTAAAATACATTTACATATGGGTTTTCAAAGTCTTTTGTTCCAGAGCAAAATGTCTTTCTGATTTTATTAGTATTAGTAAAAGTTTAAATCAGCAGATGAAACAAAGCACTGTGAATCTCAGGGAATTTTAGCTCAATTTTCTTTTGAAATTGGAAAAAGAAGTATATTTGGCACCAGAAAAAAAAAGGTGGAAAGGTGTTTTGTTAGTTCACAACTGCAACCCTATCACTTAGTATTTATCACTTCAACAATGAATGTACTAAACTGTTACCTAACTGCTACAATTATGCTTAAGAAGTGATTGAAGATTGATCCATTCTCTCTTATAATTAGTGGTAGTTGCCAAGCTATTGAACCATGGAAGAGGAAGCTCAGTCTTGACTGCCTCTGTCTAGCCTAGTTGTTTGCTTTATATTCAGTGATCTGGACCCTGGAATGAATAGTGCATAAGGCTAAGCTAGGACTTAATATTCTTAAGAATGTGGATTTGGTCTGTGCTGCCTATATTGCATTGCTGACTAAAATACAGGAAGTACTGTACCACAGGTCACTTTCAAAGTCATGTAAACTAAAGCTTACCCAGTTGGTATTAAGATCGTCTGGGATAAGACTAGAATCCAGACCCACAAAAAATGGCGACATGACATGACCACAGTTGGACTATAACACCGAAGTGGTTGAATTGTTTCCCTGTTTTGGCAGTACGCTTCAAATTTTCTGATGCAATATAGTGAGGAGCAAGCAGCAAATTGAATGGAAGTGCATGACATCACTGCACAGACGTCTTGTGTTCAAGCCTGTTTTTACAGGAAATCAAGTTTGTACCTAATATTGCTAATCCCCAAAAGATTAGCAATCATGTAAAAAAGATTCACATGCTCATAGATTTATTGATACTGAGAAAGGCTTTAAATAATTTAATATGTGCCATATTATATACTGTATATAGATTCCACAATAACCTTTTCATAAGTGCAAAGAAAACCACATGGGGACATTTTATACATCACTGTGGAATGTCACATCCCATGTTACATGAAGAAAGCTCATTGCATTGCTAAGGAATTAAACAGATACAGTAATTAGTTACACAATAATATACTGTAATTACAGCAGCGGTTACACCTGTTAATGGATGTGAAGGCATACTATATGCTAAGCAGTGTGTGTACATTCTCTGTTGCACGAATCCTAATAAAGCAAAACAGGAAATAAAGCAGTTTTATGCTTTGCACGAAGATCTGCCACCTAGATGAACTGTCATTTTAATTTCCAAGTGAGGCACACACGAAACACTGCTTTTAATGAATGGATTCTTGTTTTCCATTAAAATCCGTCTTGGCTGACTGTTTTTGTATTCCATGCATTATAAGCTCACATGGCACTATGTACTTTAATAGACTCAAATGAGTTTTACTTGAAGCTTATAAGGATATACTGTACATGAACAATATTAGCTTTTCTCTTCCAAGCTGTCAGTAGTGCACAGAAAGCCTAAAGTGCCTGAAAAATCCATTGAAGACAATAGAATCACCTTCTTTTGACCTTTTTAAATTGACAAACGATAGCTAGATCAGGTGGTATTCTTGTAATACTAAAAGTAATTCCACAGATGATTCATGAAGTAGAGAATGGCTGTGCACTTTGAGTTAATTTATGCAGACATTAGAGAAAAAAATGTTGGCCCACAAATCCCCAGGAGACAATTCTGGAATTGCAGTACCAGTGCTACAAATAGTCAGTTATTAAAGTAACCAGTAAATATATTTTTGGAGGGAAAGAATAATCCTTGTTTAATTTTTACAAAATCAAATGTAAAAGTATACTCCAAAAAATAATGTGAAGAAGATTTTTTGTAATTGTATATTCGTCACACTAATATGCTTCATATTAGGTTGCTATTGCTAAAATACGTCAGAGATCAAAAATGACTTACATTATAAATTTAAATCACATTGTAATTCAAAAGAAATGGAATATTAAATACTTTTTTCTCTATTTTAATTTATTTAAATGCTTCCTTGGTTGCCTGTGTGGAGCTGGACAAGCTCAGGATGAAAACTGTTCTAACTGTGATTCAGGATATACAACACTCATTTAGCAGTTTCTTTAAAGCCAGACATTTATGGTTATTTGAGACTAAGCCAGTAGAAACTCTATGCACATTAATATTTAATATCTCAACATCCTGTAAATAATGCCATAATGTGCAATTTAGTGTAGCATTCCTCATTTTCTTCATCTTAAATCATAGATAAAATTGCCATTTTGTTAGTCTGATTTCTGTTTTATCAGTTTATTAACTAATCTGCTTTTTAGATAACAATATTTTGATCTTGGAGTGTTATCGTCACTCAGAATACAGATTAATCTGTTTAGAGCTGCACAACAACTTCAGTTCCTTTATTCATTAGGAGTTGACAATAAAAACATTATTGTGCCTCTCAGCATACTGGGAAGGGTTTGGCTTAATTTGCCTCATATTTGTTTTGTGAGCAACCAGTTTTCAGCACTGCCTTATTGGATTTGACTTCATTCAGCACTAGCTTCTCAAATAGCAATGCAAGTGCCAGCCACTCACATTCTCTTTCCACATGACTGCTGACAATTTACAATTTGCATTTTTCCACACAAGGGCACAAGAGGCATCTGTTGAAATCTTGAAAGCACCTGGTAGTCCAAACACAGACATCACATATCTACTGCTTGAGGTAATTCGAAGTGATGATGGGAGATGGAAAGTAGTGGGGAAAGGAAGATATGGAGCGATGTCTATTTAAAAAAAATATTTGCAAAATGTATTTCTTAGGAGTCCTTGAATATTTGCTTTTTAAATTCAAGAAGCAGCATATTCAGGAACAGATTGCAGTCTTTGGGATATTACTACGAAGCTTTCAAATTTCTTTGGATTTGTTTTCTTTTAAATTCCTTATTGAAAGATTTTGGAAATGTTTCCCTCAGACTTCCAGCTAAATTGGTGTTACTGTATGATATGAAAACTGTTCTAGATATATCCATGTAATGTTATTGTTATGTCAGTAAATGTAATATTGTTACTGAAATCCCTGTCTGTTGTATGTTCTGTGGAACATTACCCTTCATTACCCTGTTGATACAGTAGCTGTTTACACCACATACCTGTATGACTGGCCCACTTGATGTCTATTCTGCTTCATTATGTTTCAGTGTCATCAGGACTGAATCATGAAAACCTACTGCATTCTGAAGTTTGTTTCTCGATTGAATAACGGTGTGGGAGAGACACAATCAGGGTGGCAGCAACATTGACCTCTTCTCAAACAGATTTCCTGCAATGCCAATGTCATAATTCATCATTTCACTGCTAAGACATTGATTAAGTGGTTGTCTCGGCACCCTTTAGTGTTTTATGCAGGTAATTCACCCAATGTCCTGTTTTGACATGAGTATGAAAATCCAGGTGATGGGTGATAAAAGTATCAACTGTGCAATACAAGGGCTCTTATTAAGTTCCCTTATAATATATTTTCATGCAATGTTAACTCAGTTATTAAATGCCTCCATGTTATTATGTATTTTATATCTGACATCCCTAACAAATGTGGAGTACTGTATATACAATACTATAAAAATTATAAAGTGTCCTACAGTATATATATGAAGTGCTTGTATTAATAGATACTGTATATATTGATATGTATTGTATGAATCTATCAATAAGTATTTTACACTAAACATAAAGGAAGTAAACAAGCAAATGTGAAAATATTCACCTACTCATTTCAAACAAAAACAATGGACGTTATGTTGTAACTTCCAGGGTGTATGTGTAGTATATCGCTTCTATTTAGTGATTGTATCTGTATGTTGTATAACCTGTATATTGTTTTCAATTTTGTTTGGTTATATTTCTTATTTATATTACAAATTTTAATTTGT